ATCACGAGGTGTCGATCGATAGGATCAGGTATCAGACATCAAAGAACAAAAAACCTATCATTGTGAATGAGGAGCAGTGCAGAGTGGAGATCCAAAGTCCATCTGTAGTCAACTGGACATCCCCTTAACGAAGGGTCTCGAGGAGGAGACGAGCCAGTCGGGGTGCAGTATAGCACCAATGAAACATACAACTTTCCTTTAGTTCTTTAATGCTTCCCACACCCCCACCCCCCACTATCATGATCCCAATTCTACCTTACAAATCCGGCTAGACCAGATGGTATACACTGGTACACATAGGACTGGAAACACTGGGAATCCAGGACAGATGATCTCTTTAGAACCAGTGCTGACAGTGGAAATACTGGGAGGATGGAAGGAAGGTGAGGTAGAAAGGGGGAACTGATTACAAGGACCTATATATAACCTCCTCCCTGGGGGACGAACATCAGAAAAGTAGATGAAAGGAGACACCGGACAGTGTAAGACATGACAAAATAATAATTTATAAATTATCAAGGGTTCATGAGGGAGGGGGTGGCAGGGAGGGAGGGGAAAAATGAGGAGCTGATACCAGGGGTTCCAGTGGAAAGCAAATGTTTTGAGAATGATGAGGGCAACAAATGTACAAATGTGCTTGACACCATGCATGGATGTATGGATTGTGATAAGTTGTGTGAGCCCCCAATAAAATGATTTTAAAAGTGAGTTAGTAAAACTTTTGTTGCTTTTTTAACTTAATGAGAGAGGTTTGAGAACGATGAAGCTGGATTTAAGCACACTATGCATTCAATAGTGGGGTTTTTCTTGAGGGGCTAAGAATGAACACACACATGTAAAACTGGGAAAACCACCTAACTTGAAGAACAAACCCTACTACAGCCCTGCTAGTCATTGAACTGAACTGCTACCAATAACCCCATGTTTTGGCAGTCTAATTTTCTGTCTCTGAAATAAGAAGTATTTAGGCTGCTATAATTATCAGTTAGCAAACAGACCAGTTTTCCTGAAAAACAACTGGTACAATTAGTACACAATTAAAAGAAGGGTGTCATTTATATAATGTTTAAAACAAAGGGAAAAAACCGTGACTAAACTATGAACCACTAAGAAAAAACGATAATGTTTAAGCCCCAGACCTATCTCAAGCTTCAGTGGATCCTAACTTGAAGTCTTAGAGAGCACACATTTATGAGTAAGCTTAGCGAATTTTTTTTCTCACTATCATACTTATTCCCAGTCTCCCAGAAAACATTTCTTGGGAGCTTGCTTAATGCCAGGCACAGAGATTATTTTAAAATGTTATTTGTTTGAAAATGTTCCCCAATACTTAAATCTTTCCCCAACCTTAATTCTTTAAATGTCCTTCTCTGGCAACCCTCCAGTTTTTTGGTTTTTTTTAAACCCTCCAGGTTTTTTAGCTCTTTCTTTTTCATTATCTCTCAGGATCTTCCTTCTTTTTTTAAAAAAACATTTTTATTAACACATAATTTACATATCAAACAATTCAATAATTTTATCATTTAACTGTATCAAAGAGAATTGTACAATCATTACTACATCAATTTTAGCCAATACCCCCCCATGGCTAAATCGCCTTTAAAATGAGTTGTGTAATCACAAATTAGTAGCATCTTCCTTCTTGTTATATTAAAACAGCCTTATTGAGACATTAATTTGAAAATCATACAATTCACCCATTTAAAATGTATAATTCAATAGTGTTTCATTTGAGAATAGAAAACACACAATCTATATTCCTACCACCATTGTAAGAGAATTCCAATTTCCCCACATCTTCATCAGTACTTAGCCTGTTTCCCCGAAAGAAAGACATCCCCTGAAAATAAGACCTACTTACAGTTTTGCCTCTTGCTGAAATATAAAGCATCCCTCGAAAATAAGATGTCCCCAAAAATAAGGCCTCCCCGATAATAAGACCCCCAAAGCTACCGTAACTCTGGACTCTGGACCGTAGCGGTGGGCACCGCTGCGCAGCTCACTGTTAGCCACAGCGCAGCTGGAGCTGACAGGAAATGCAAGGTCTCTTTTAATAAAACAATGAAATAATAAACAATAAATGTGTACTGCATTCTTCTTGCTGGAAAAATAAGACATGCCCTGAAAATAAGACCTAGCGCGTCTTTGGGAGCAAAAATTAATATAAGACACTGTCTTATTTTCGGGGAAACAGGGTAGCAGCTGTCTTTGATTTTTGTAGTCATCCTTATGGGGAACTATAAGGAGCCCTGCTGGTACTGTGGGTTAGGTATTGGGCTGCTAACTACCAGCTCAGTGGCTTAAACCTACCACCGACCTCTTGAGAAATTCAAGGCTGTCTGCTTCCTTAAAGATTTATAGTCTT